CAGCGCGCAAGCGTTTACAATTAAATTACGCCACGCCAAAACTAAAGTCTTTACACTGCAAATTGGGCCCAATTTCGTTTCAAGGATTGAAAACCAAGAAAATAACCCGACAGCCATGTAATCTCTTAGAAAGCAAACTGGACTCAGTAAATTAGATTCATGTATGTACGTATCGTGTTCGGACAGCCTATGCTACACAGAGAATGGAAGAGAAGGTCCTACGCGACTATAGGGGCATGGCTGTGGGTTGCAGGACGGGCGGAAGCTACAAAACTATGATCCCTGCTTCTCCGGTACTGGTCAAAACGTGAGGTCCAGCCTCCAGCCACTGGATACATTGCCAATGGCCTGGACAACATGCCCTGGCTGTCTTGAACCCTGGTCTTTGCAAATGCTCATAGCCAATGCCCACTGTCTGCTCCCAGTGTGCTCACAAGTCCTGGCGTACGAATTAAGGCGCCGACAGGAAGTTGCACCACCTGGATCAGCCAGATGCCCCCCCTCATGCTCCAGATATCCTAGATTGCCATCTCCTTCCTCTATTGTTGTCCTTCGAACTCCGACTCCCTGGCTTCTCTTCTCTCGGAAGGATACTTTTTGAGGGTAGAGAGTGTTTCTGGTAGGGGCGTAGAAAGATGAAAGAAAGTTATTCTTAAGGGCTTGTCATTGTATAGGATTTTCAACCATTAAAAGTTGGAATGCTTCTGGATTCTGTGAAACGACGTGAACAGGCTCTTGTTCAACCGGCTTCGTGCTTGGCGTTGTCGAGGTTGTGTTTTGCAGTGTAGGCAGTTGGGAACTGTTCCAACTGGCTTTAGGCGGCTTATCTTTCTAAATAATCTGCTGCTTGCCCGTGGATGGGCGGTGCTTCATCTAGCGCCTGATTTGTGTTGTGTTGCCGGCGTTTTGACATAGGCTTTTATGTAGGGGTTTATGCTTAAGCTGTGGTTTTGGTGTCTTGTTTTTTGGGTGGACTTTGGGTGGGAAGCACTTCGGGCTGTCAAGCCGTCTTTCCAGCAAGGTTTGCTTTTGAAGCCCATCATAGACCTGGAAGGTCCTTCCAGATTTCTCCCCTCCGCATCAGCCACGATGATCCAGGACTGGCGCGTCACCCGGGTGAACCCCTCTTCCGTGGCGTTGATCTCCAATGCTTCGTCTCCGGCACTCAGACCGCACAGCCCGGGCAAGCGAAAAAGTGTTTGGTTCTGATCCTCACGCGCCGCATCCGGTGGAGATGCTGAGCATAGTGGCACCAGCACCAGAATGGAACCACCGCGACGTGTTGTCTTTTGGCAATGTCCTCCTATCAAATCGGGCATGGAGCTCGTGAAACCAAAACGCGGTTTTGGGGGGGGGGACCTCGCCTTTGAGCGGCCTTCCATTGAGAGGCTTAAGTATGGCTTAAGATGGCTTAAGATATGTCGGCACTGAGCGAATGCGATGTTGCTAGTGCAGAATGCCAAGCATAAGCACGGTAATCCATTAAAACACCCCCAAAATTAGAAAAGCCTGGCCCAAAACCCGATCCGGTAGCCGCCCCTTATAAAACCTCTACCGAACTAGGGAAGGGGGGGGGCCGGGGAGGTTACGGGGGCGGTCTGCAGCGTCTGGAAGCACCAGCACTGCTAAATGCGAGCGGCGAAGAACTCCCCCGAGTTCTAAACACCCTTTGAGGAACTTGGGAGGTTTTAATACCCCGGGGGGGGGGGGGGGGGGACCTTAATCGTAAGGGAAGGGACTACACCATTTAATGCAGTTTCGATCAATCTGAATGCCAAGCAAGTCGCATGAACAGGAACCGGCTCGTAAACCTTGTGTACGGTGTATAAATCGGTGTTCGCAGGATCTTCTCACATGCGCCCAGCACCTGAAAGGAAGAAGGGCTAATGAAATGATATCTACGCTGTGGCTACAGTCTGAATGAAGCTTTCGGATCTTCGAAGTTTTGCTGTCAAGGATGGGTTTGTTGAAGGAGGTCGACGTTGCTCAGAAACTATCGTCGGAGAATGCCTGAGGCTTGGCTGGGAGGCTTCTTGCCCTTCAGGGGGCCTGCGGCCTACAGAAGCCAGAAAAAGCTTGGGAAGCAGACCTCAGGGCCCATGGAAGCCCGCCAACTCTGATTGCCATGGTCATCGAACGCACGGCAAACATCAAGCTATATCAAGCTCCAATGCATGCGGTGAGAAATGTGCCTCCTGGTTTCCCCATGCCGAGGAGCGTTGTGGAAGGTGGTTAGGCTTCGGTCCATTTCTGTAGCAGCAACTGGATCCAAACCTGCAAGGCACTGCAAGAATAGGAACGCGGACATCGTCGCTGTCGGTCAAGAGGGATGCGGAATTGACCTTTAGACCATCCCGCCTCCCAGAGTCGGCTGGGAGAAAATGCTTGCACTGGTGTGCTGCAGCTCATGCAACACATAGAGCGGGCGATTTGCAACATCCGCCTTCAAGACGTGCACCACACATACAGCACTGCGGACGGCATGCTGCGAATCTTATGTGCACTGGACCCGCCAAGGCCTCAATCAGGCGTTCCGTAAAGCTCCGCTGCTTTGCATCGTACGGATTCCAGAGTTGTTGTAGCTCACATTTCAGCGCCTCAGTCGCGTGTATAGATATATATTTTTTGGGCCAATCAGCACAATCCCCGGCAAAACGCCGCGAGCCAGGTGATACCAAGCATCTGCAGTGGTGGCTTGTCGGATTTGCTGATCCGAAGTCCACTGCCTTGGCCAGGATAATTCCGGACAAGCCTCTGCTATCCTGTAACATCCAGCACGGGCAACACTGACTTGCTCCGGCACTCATTTGGACCAAAGCCGAAAAGCAAGACTGTAACATGCGAAATGAAACGGTCCCAAGTCTGAGCCGTGCAGCCGTGCGTGTGGAAAGTTCTTGTTTGCTCTGTACAGCATGTGTTGGGGGCATCGCAAGCTGAAACTCTTCCCACGGGAAGTTGCATTTGCCCGTGGTCATGTCGCAAGCACGGTTTCTCATGTGCAGGCCAACATAAATCTCCAGGCGTGAAGAAGCCAGGCATGCGAGAGCATAATTTCGTGCCAAACAAGGTGAACGAAGTGTAGAAGCCGGGAGTGCTGGTGATGCACATGAGCAACGATAGGTGGGCAGGCATGCAAAGCATCGCAAATGAATTTGTGCATGCAGTGGAAACCAGTGCGGAGCCCTATGTAGGCAATAAGATCTGAGGCAAGGGACGCATGGCCTGAAGGACGGTTTGATGTATCCTGGTTGGCATCTACCCGATCGCCCCTGCAGTACTATGAAAGAGCTTTCCTCTTTCCCCCCATTCCTCTCTCATTCTTCAGGAAATTAAAACGTGGGGTCCGAGCGGAATCATGCTCGACAGCAATCGTGGGACAGTTTGGACCTTTTGTGTTTGGAGAATGGTCAGGGTACTTTGTCAAAAGGACGTTTTCGACTTTCCATTCTCAGCTGTCAGGTCGGGGTTCAAACAATTCAAGCCCTAGTGTGGTGAGGTGCAAAATTCACAAGATATCGGTTCACGGCGATGTCGGCAAGTAGTAGTGGCCCCTGTATGTTCTCATAGGCGCATGGAGAGGGCATCTGAAATCCCGAATCCGACCAACCCGCAAGCAACAAAGGCTGCAGGCCTCCGCTGCTATCAGAAGTGAAAAGTGCCGAACAGTTTTGGAGCCAGAATTGCATGAGCCTGCGAAGGCTAAGCCATGTTTCGTTGAGAGCATGTCGCGGTCCGATCTGGTTTGGCTGGGGAGAGCAGCTAAGTTGAGCCAAACATGCGAAGCGGTTTGAGCTTCATCTGGAAATACGGCTGTCAGCACGTAGGCATGGCAACAGAAGTCAGCACCAAAAACCAAGCCAGGCAAAGTGCTTGATTTCAATGTTTGGATTGCATCCATCCTCGGTCAAGTGATATTTCAGCACCACGGGCAGGGTCCTTCGACGACTTAAGACTCAGGGCTGTTGCAAACGCATAACACTTGCCGCAAACGGAAAGAGTCCTGATCAGCTTAATTGCATAAATCTTGCCCTCCGCAACGTCTGAGCACAACACGCCTCCACGATGTGATGTTCAACGCTAAAAATGGCATGAAACTCCGGGAACGTACGCCCACGTCCGCCTGTTGACGAGGGCACTCTGGCCATAACCCGGCTCGCCATGGCCCGGGATTCATTGATGAGTAGACCCCAAAGTGATCGACCTTCGGTAAACCTTTCAGGAGTTTCTGGTCTTCCCTGCTTGCTTGTACTCTTTCCACATCCTCAAAGCTGGCCAAGCGGCCGCTGATAACTTGTCTGGGTCTTGAAAGTCACCTGAGGACGCGGGATCTGCGCGAATGCAAGAAGGACCATGAAGGACCCGACATGCATGTCACATGCACTTCGCATGAAGAACCGCTAGACTCGAAACACTGCAAATCCAACCGTAATGCCTAGGACTTACCAGCACCAGGTTGCCAACAGGCCCAATGCCACGGAAGTCAGGGTGAAGCACTCTACCTGGGTCGAAGGAGCACGTGACATTCTAGTCTTCTAGTAAGTCCATTGGCCCTCGATATCCAGACAAGGCTTTTGGAAAGACATGGCAGAGCAAGTGGCTGGAAGCGACAGCAGGCTTGGCAGGGCCACCTCAACGCCTTGGTGCGCTCTCCGCCCCTCTTTAATCTTTCCTTGCACTTCAACTGTCTGTGCCTGCCGGAGCGAATGACGGCACATGTCATTGACTGTCTGTGTAGAAGTTCTGGTTCATCGAACCCCAATGGACAGCAAGAGTATGTCCATAAGTTGTTTCTCCAATGTCCATGGCGCAGTCAGCACAGCTTCATTTTGTCAAAGTTGCTTCGGCTAAGCATGCTCGCAAAGAAATCGGCGTGGATGTTGTAGTAGCAAATAAAGCCTCATCAGCATCCCCTGAAAGACTTCTTTGACATGTAGCGGGCTGCGCGTTACTGTGTGCCACCTGCTGCTATCCTGCACATGTGGAGCCTACAGCAGGGGCAGGTCAAGTCCAAAGCAAACCTTCCGAAATCTTGATCGACAGAACTTACGAGCCTAAACACCATGAAAATACTTGGAGGACAAGAAACACATAACTACACGAGATAGGACGAGTAAGAGATCGGCGCAAGTCCATCGGAGCCCGAAGCCCGGGACGGTCCCAATGAAAGACGTCACCAGAACGGCCGTTGCCCCGCTAAGCTCCTAATTAGGCTCACATGAAAACTAAGCTTCCAAACTGTACTAGGATCCTACTATAATTTTTTTCAAGATCTTAATAACAAACCTGCAGGACTGTGTGGGGTTCTTTTTCGATCTGGATACCCTCCCGACGATAGGTAGAATCCAGAAGGGATTTACCGTTTTACTTCACCTAGGCTCCGATTCTACTCCGAAGTAAATATTATAATCTTACCCGAAAGAAAACCCGCACTCCACGGACCCGACATTCAACGTGGAAACGCAAGACGGCTACTGGGAGACTCATATGCACCCGCGGTCGTAGCGTAACATTGCACTGACTTTTTTGAAAACCAATGAATTTCCGAAGTTCTGACAGCAAAAATTGGCACGCGCAGAAACCAGGTCTGATTGCTGAGATGTCTGCGTGAACCCAGGTTGGAGTTCTACTTTTTGTCTGTCAGATGCTGAGAATTCAGTTCCGGATTCCAAATGCAAAGGCACTCGCCATGAATATCTTGCTTTCAAATTTCTATATGGTATCATTTCTTGCATAAGTCATCTTGTGCAAAGATTCCTTGGGCACATGTTTCATACGGAGGCTTCTTTGCAAACATCCTACCACTTCCATGGAGAATACGCTGCACATCCTCTAATTTTGCACCTCCATACGTACTAGCATCGTTCACATGGAATTCGCGATTGATTTCTCATGCTGCCTGGGCAGCAAGCCCTAACAAGCCCTTCTTTGTTACAGCCCGGAGGTGCGCTCGACCCTAATCATTCTCATCAACTTTCCATTTGCAACATTGTTGTGTCTCTAAAAACTCACAAAAACCGTCAGCACACCTGTCAGTCAATGGCACAGCAACTGATGGGTATAGCCACCCTCTCCACGAGCACAGTTCAGCTTTCAGGAGTTCCACAAGAACCGGAGCATGTTGGGAACAGACACTTGTAAACAACGATGCCGAGCGATTGTCAAGTTCTATCCGGCGAACATCATGTTGAAGACACGTATGGACGAAGGACAGATCGGGAAAGAAACGAGGAGGAGGAGGAACATCCAGACCTGCTCTTCCCCCTCCCTGGCCCAAACAATCCAGCTGTGTCCAGCTGCACCAACACCACAGGGCTGTGGCACGGAGGGAGGGAAGACGTGTAGTGCACAGGTTTAGACCCGATCCGATGCTCCCACAGAACATGGTGTCCCCAAAGTTGCGCCCTTCGTCAATCCAAGATCGACAACAGTCAGGATTCAGGATACTCGCCATCCGCGCTGGCGAAAACAAGTACTCTCGTAGGTGTAAGAGAGTCAGGTCGAGTCACGGGGTCTTGAACACGTAACCCTTAGAGTGATACCCCTTCTACGGTTTGGGAAAATGTCCTTCTTTCTACGGCCAACCTACATGGCATGCAACGCATCGTGTGAGCATCTCATCCCAAGCAACTGGATGTTGCGCCGATGAGAGCCAGATCTGGAAAAATCAGTCGACGTATGTTGTCAGACTTGATGATCTTCCTTAGCAGCAACTTCAACAGGCATGCACACCTGTACAAAGTCTAAAGTGTGCAAACCTGAAAAGCTTGCCGAAGCGCTTTGAGCAGTTTAGCTGCTGAGGCTCGAAGGTGTCCACAGTAGCAGGTGCCGCGTAGCACGTTGGTGTCTACGCCAGTGTCTGAAGGTGTAACCTTGTACTTAAAGGGGTTGCCAGCGGCCTTCGTTCTTTGCTACCCAACTCTCCTATCTCTCTGTGCGGTTCGTTGACACGTGCCGAAATCGTGCAACCCCCCCCCCCCACCCCACCCCTGATTGCAAGCCCGTGGGTGGCCTCCTCTTACCGGTTGCAAACCCTTCTTCGTGGGCCAGACTGTTGCGCACTCACAAGGATCGAAACGCTCCCGCAACTAGTCCCAAGCCGAAAGTATCAGCATGTACCGCTTTTCTGCCTGCGAAGGACTCATGTCGATAGTGATTTTGCGGAGAAATCGAGAGATGCTGTTCATCCCATGGTCTCGGCAATAGTGAAGTGACATCGCACCAGCAGATGCCTCCAAAGGTCATGCCCATACAAGATTCACAAATGAGCGGGCAATCGCCGAACCTTTCAGCGTCTTGAGACGATCATCTTGCTGGCCTCCATCCCCCTACCCTTGCAACTCTTGAAAGCCTCTTCCCCAAGCGTGCTTAAGCTGCTTAAGCTGCTTAAGGTTCTCCTGGAAGCCATGACGCGACCCCATCGCCTGGAAGAGGCGCCGCTGCGCCTCTGCCTGAGCTTCCGCCTTGGTCGCCTCCTCCTGCCAACCAGCTCCGCTCCAGTTCTTAAGCAGTGAGTTTAGAATGCGCATGTTGCAGCTTTTTAGAGACTGTTACAATAGCATATTCTACCTTTGATGCTGCTGCCTATTTGCTTGTCGTTTTGTTTATGGCCATCTTATTGCAGCCGATATCGCGCAGTCTTGTCATTATACAAGAACAGAACACTGAAGGCATCCATGGAGAACAACCAGGCTATCAACGAATTTAAGCAAAGGCACATTTACAATCTAATCTGTGATACTATACCGCGGTATGTTTCATGCTTGTGTACCATGAAAAAATTACGAATAAAATCGGGCATGGACTTCTTCCGGTCACCCGGAAATTCAAGCAGATGGATGATCAGGACACATTTGCAAGCTCATCCCATGTCTCCCTATACATAAAAACACATCTAACGCTAAGCCAATCTCGACCCCATGTCTTGAGCCAGGTGAAGCCAACCAAACACACACACACAAATCCAGAGACCCCAAGCAAGTCTCAATACAAAACGAAAAACGGCAAAAAACAAAAACCGGACTCCGAACCCAGAAAAGAGGCCTTCGTCATGCTAAGCCCGCAAACCAAACAAACAAAACTACAGACGCGCTGTCCCGGCCTCATGTCCCAAAACAACACACTTAGACCCCATATCCCTCGAAACCCAAAACAGAAGAACCATCACTGCCCCACATCAGGTCAGAACTTGGAGCCCAGAGCTGCTTAAACGAGTGTTTGTGGTTTCGGGGGACCTGGGGCCTTGAGACGACTACTGTTAGCGGGGGGGGGGGGGGGGTTTAGCACACACCCACACACACAAGTACAGATTATGTATCTGCATATGTATGTATATGACACAAAAAATCGTACAAATATGGCTAGCGTTTTACCTCCTTTCTTCCTGGGGAGGGCTGGGGAGAGTGAGCGCTGATGGTGGAAACTGTGCCCGAAGTGGACTGCTTTGGTGGGCATTTGACTCGATATGGGTGTTTACGAAAATAGGGGACCCCAAAGTAGTAGGCCCCCCTTGTAACCAGGACCCAAATAGGGTACCCCGAATATCGTAACCCCCATATTGTTTGGTAATCTTGTGCGTGGCTCATTCTGGGTTCTCCACAAAAACAGGCAATCATGGACCACCTATGCTTACACTTCAACATGCGTAACCGTTTAGCATGTTAGGATTTTAGCTCCACCTGCTCCTGGGTCTCGGCCTCACGAGCTTTGATGCGATCAGCGCCTTCGGCTCAGCAACGTGGCACCAGAAACCAACATAGAGCAGAATCTTCGATTGTAAAGTTGCACCCATTTTCGATTGCGTCTTTAGCATTAGAGTATGAGAGGGGCTTGGGAGGAGCATGGAGTGAGCATGGAGGCTTCAGCGGGCTGTTGGGCTTTGATGCCCGCTTACTCCGGCGCCTTGCGCTTGCCACTGGCACTTACAGACGACCGATGCAATTCATGGCGCGTACGCGTGCTCCACATGCAGTGCCGAATGCTGAATCATCAGCTTGCGACAGCGACGGCGGCTCACTTTCGCGCAGAGATGCCAAGCCCTTTAACAAGAAACATTTTAGCAAACCAGCGCTGCAAACTGCTTGCCGCATGCCTGAGGTTTTGTGATCGCGAGACTGCGTCACACCGGCCTCCTCCCGATACCGAGAATTGTCTCTGCAGGTGGTTGCAGGATGCACAGCGCAGTCTTGTGGTCAAAGCCCTGCGCAGCCGCACCTTCAGCATTGCCTGAGCAAGGGCCATCTGTTCACAAACTCACACCTCACAGATTCAACAACCACCGGGGTCACTGCTAAATGCAGTCGTAGCACGTGAGTCCCAGGTCCCAAATGCAGAAAGTAATGCCAATCCAGGCGAACACGGCACTTTGGCCGAGTCCCGATTAAAAGGCCTCCCTGTTCGTTCATGTGCGTTTGGTGCGTGGACTTAGGCCTGCTGTGGTTGCTGCTGGTGCTGCTAACGATGTGGGGTGAAGGCTTCGTCGTCGTGCGCTGGCTTCGCTTTAGCCCACAGGCGTGACCAGACCAGCCGGGAATAAATGCTTATGCCGCCATACCCGATGCATGAGTCAAATGAAATTCCAAAGCGAAACATGCATGGGTGTAGCTGCTATCAAATATTGCTGCAAAGCAGGCCACGTATGACAGGGATGAGCAGCAAATCCAGCACCACCCAAGCAGCAACGGTCATGCATGCCAGGTGAGAGCACGCAAATGCATGCAAACCAAAGCTCTACGTAGATGACTCAGCACCACCACCGGTGCCGAGCATGAATGCCAGCATGTGTGACTGTGTCGAATCCGTCAGGAGGCGGCTCGATGTTGGACCCGTCCAGAACATGTCACAAACTCGGATCAGTCGGAGCTGGGACACCTCATTTACAGGCACAGCAACAAACCATCCCAAAAGCCTAACGTTCAGCAGAAGCCAAAGTTCTCGATGGGCCAGACTTAGACATGATCCAAGCGCGCAAGAGACTTTGCAAATACTGGTTGGCACCCTGGGTTCTTTGCAAAGCTTTTCGCATACTGGCGGCGCGCACATCATGGCGTATCGTTCAGAAGCTCCCTGGATGGTGGGTTTCAACACGCCTGTCTGCGCAGAATTTTTGTGAGCGAAAACAAGTATAGAAACTATACGAAAACATGTCCGAGTCCCATTTACCATGGTTCAGCTCTTCTATAGCAGTTTGTGCGGGGTCTTAGGTTCTTGCAGCCTAAGCCTAGGGTTGCTTCCAGCTCTGAACGAAGATAGAAGAGCAGGAAGCCAGCAACTCAAGAAAGGATGATATTCACCTCATGAAGAGAAACCGTGAGAAAATATTCCGTGTTGTGACAGGTGCTTACCTTTTGTCCTGTAGGTCACCGTCTAGGGCCGTCTCTGAAGACGGGTCAAGCCTGGTCTCAAGTATCTACTCTACACGTAGAACGCGGAACGTTGAATTCGGAGAGCTGTGTCCAGATGCCAAGCTATGATGGTGGCATTTTGAGCTACGTTCTCTACAGGAACAGTTCGGTTGGTCAGGCACCTCAACACAAGGCCAAGCTCCTTACCACTGGAAAGCCAGGAAAGAGTTCATGCTCGGGCGCTGTGCACCGCCGAGCATTCTTGTGCTCAAGCTGAGTTCGCCTTAATACAGCTTACAAAAAACTTGGCCCAGTTGGCAAAATTCAATTGAAACATTTCGAGCAGCAGAATGGCCTTCGACTGCTTGCTGCGCTTGCCTGGGCATTCCCTTTCCCCACAAGCGCTAGCAGCCGCAAGCAGCCAGCCCTGCGCACGGCAATGCTGTCACTTGAAAATGGGGAACTGGAACATAGCAGCTGCTTGAGCCATCTGGAGTTGCAGCCACGCCAGCCACGCCAGAAGTCTAAAGCCCAAAATACATAAAACTGAGGAAAGGAGACAGGAGACAGAAGGCCCTTCGGGCATCTGCGCCATCTGCCCGAATCTGCGCATGCTTCTAATTAAAAGTATTCCGCAAGTTCTGATAAGCGCCCTAGATTCCCTAGAAATTGCCCTCCAGCGTCGCTTGCAGCTTGACGAGCTGCTTCAACATCCTGGGCCCAGACTCTCCGAGATGCAGCCGATATCAGCGAATGTCATGCGGAAGAGAAAAAGTCGAGGAGGCAGCCCAGGGACTATGGAATCACAAGGAGCAACAACACGAGTTCAACCATGCGGCCAAGGGATGCAACAGCAATTTGTGCGCTTGCAATATTTGGGGGTCGGCAGAGCCGATCTTCAGAATGACCCGAATCTTTCAACAAAGAGCTTGTCACGCACCTCAGTAAACTTTACACCAACTGCCAGCTGACGCAAGCTGCCAATTTGCTCCACAACTGGCATTTTGGGCAGAGCACAGCCCCCGGTGTGCTGAACATGCGCTCAAAAACGCTCTGAAAGCTTGCTCTCGTGGGTTGTGAGTCCAAAGCCCAGACATGCCCATGGCCAGTCCAGCCGTCCAGCCATGCCCAGCCCATTGCCCCCGTCTGCAGCAGAGCTTCTTTTTGTCTCCTTGCGCATGGGTCGAGATCTGCCTCGAATGCGCTGAGTACTGGCACTGTCGAAATGTTGCAGACTGCTTCGGGTGGCAAGGTCACGCTTGCCGAGATGCATGACGGCATGTAAGATCCTCAGGTCTCAGCAACAACGGCAGGCGAATGGCACAGACAACCACAGTCGCAGGCTGGCTTGGTGGTGCGGTCTGTCAATTTGTGCAAAGGGTCTTGTCGGCTGTGAAGCCGTGTGACTCCAGGAGGTCTTTGAGCATGCCTTGAACCAAAGGCCTAAGATGTTCGCCGAGCAGCAACCTGTGCACCATTGACCACCTTGCCGAGAACAGGAATGCAGAAACATAAAGACATCACGCCCAATTAGGCTGCAGAAAGCACCGAGAAGCATCAAGACAGCCATCTTCTTGGCATCGTCACCATGGCAACTGCTTACCTCAAGCGCGCAAGTGACAGACCATGTCAGAGAGGATGCTGAGGTTGTTCTTCTGAGCTGGTTTCCCATGTCGCATTTCCGAGACAAGGGACGGCTTCTTGCAGTTTCCGCCGGTTTTCCGGCATGTCGAAAATGGCCTGAGATCTGAGAACTGCAACAATAATCAGAAAAGGATGGCTCAGTAGGTCGATTCAGATGTCAGACCTCTTGCAGACGTGTGCTCAAGCAGCTCGTATCGTCTTTTCATGCAGCTGTTTTGTGCTAGCATGGTGAGAAGTATGAATGCCGTACCCAAACCTCGCATGCCCGAAGTATATTCAGCAGCCAGGCGGCGACCGCTCGATTGAGCGCGTCTTTGGCCTGATCCTGCTCATCGAAGCAGGAGACCCAGTCCCAACAATTAACCCCCGCGTTTGTGCTCACAAACAAAACATCTGAGTAAGCACAGTGGCCCAGATACAATTGGCCCACATGCACAGACACGGAGCACGTCAACGCGACAGGATGCTCGGATTGTCATTCGAACTCATCAGTGGGCTAGATAGTTCTTCAATGACACCACGTGTTCTTCGCAGGAGCAATGTTCAAGCCACGCAGGCCTGGTGCTGAGCAGATCACCCGTTTGAAAACGCAGTCCCAGGTCAATCACAACACATAAATCTTTACATAAGTTTGCGTTCGGCGATGAAAGACATGCATGGGGAAAGTTTGTGAACAAATGGTGGCCTCCCCAAACTGCCCTCAATTTCGATTCTTACAGGGAGAGCTCAGAGCTACAGTCAGCGTGATTTACAGCAGTTCGGGCATGAGCTTAAAGTGAAACTTGCTGCGTTGCAAGATCACAGAGGCATGAGACTCGAGGCAGATAGGAGGACAGCGTGTCGTTGCTTTTAACACTCGAACTAACATGGTTTTTTTTGGCAAGTCTACGGCGTTTCGAAAACGCAAAAAAATAGATTCACGGCATTTAGACAGTCCGAACTTGCGGGCATCGATGCTAAACAGATCTAAACAGCGTAAGAACTACGGAATTACGACGACGACACGCCCCTGGCATCTCTCACGGGACACCTAGAGCGAGTACAAATTGCAGTTCACGAGGAGCTTTCGTTTGCACTGCCAAAAGTCGACTGTCTCCCGGACATCCAGGAATTGTATCGATTTCTCCAATCCCCAAGCCCGTGCCGGACCCCGCACTGCCACCCCAAACAGCCCTCCTACGCTCCGAACCCTGATCCGCATTGAGGTGTTGACACACTGCTTGCCTGATTCCTTTTAGCATTGGAACCGTGCCCTAGATATGACATTCTTTGTGCAATTATTTAGTTGATTGGTTGTGTGCTGTGTGTTTGCTAATGTTAACATGCAGCTGACTTTCTCGTGTGGCTCTGTGTCGCTTCTTGAAAACACTTCAGGCACAGACACAAACGTGTTCCCGAATGTTCAAGCCCATCCACCCGCTGTGTGCGCCTTTTGCCGGGTGACCGGATTGGATTGTCAATGTGTTTCCTCCTCGATGAACCGCCCCCCCCACCGCCCCCCCTCAGCCAGCTGCAAAGGCTGCGAAGTTCTGTCTTGATCTGTCTAGTCAAGGGCGATGACGGGCTCCGCCCTGCCAATGTCCGGATGCGGGGGCACGCCGTGCAAAGTATTGAATGTTCTTGAGCAGTGAGTACTGCTAATCAATGTAGCCTGGAACACAAGATGAACTGGTCATGTGAGGGTTCTTGCCTTGCCAGTCTCGCACTTAGTAAAGCTTTGCGGCATGAGATGGCATGAGTGTTTGGCTGCCACGTTGCGAGGCCGGCGTAGCATATAGATGCATACATCAGCAGCAACAACAGCAGCAATAGCAGCAGCAAAGGCAGCAGCAGGAAAGGCAGCCGCAGCAAATACTGATGACAATGACGGTACATGGCTACCATGCATGTGAGCAGCGCCAAATCGCCTATGGCTCTCGCCATGTCAAACACTTGTAGCAGCCTGGTTTAAAACGACAGAAGTCGCTGTGAGACTCACGTTGACAGCACATGGTTGAATCTACAGGGCTAGTGAAGGCGAGTGCGGCTCGTCTGCTGGGCACACACGTACGCAGTTCGCACATGACTGCGTCTATGCGGGGTCAGAATGGCGCACCTGCCTTGGTCAGCTTTGCGAGCTGACTTGGGTTTGCAGCCTGTTCTGCCGCACCACCTGGTCAGACCGACACATTGGCCCGAGCGACAGAGGCAACAGCATGCCGCAGCATCAGCACACCTGGCCTGACGCTTTGCTTTTCGGCTTTGCCTTGCCGCTGGGCAACTGGCTTTTCGCCTCCTCGAGAAAATCAGATCTCCAGTCTTCAGGAATTTATCATCTCCACCCGCTAACTTGGCTATCCTGGCCGAGTTGGAAAACATGTGCAGCCACAAGGGCGCTCCTCTGTTCTCTTCTTGGGCGCCTTCTCCTTTTCTGCCTTCTCCTTGTCTGCTTTCTCCTTGTCTTCCCTCTGTCTTCTCTCCAATTCCTTGAGTTTGGCCTCTGTAGCCTTTCTTTCCTGAGGGTCATAGCAGCAGCTACTGCAAGCTAAGGTCACCTGCCACGACCGCGACCTAAGCATAGGGCTGCTTCTGCTTTCTTGGCTGAAGCTTGTCGTGCCTTGACTGATTCCAAGTTGATTCTCTTACAAGAAGAGAGCATGGCACGGCCCGGTTGGCCGCCCTCGCAAGGTCGTGTTGGAGCCGCAGTTCACTGGGACAGGGACTGCTGCACGCTCGGCAAGCTGCTTCTCCACTTCTGGACGCGTTGCCTGCAAGATCCCAGGAGCCACTTTCATGTTTAAGTCTCAACACCACTGCGCGCCATTGGCCGGCGCCGGAATGCCTTGAACTGTGTATTTCGCCGGCCTCCGCAGCTTTCCGAAGTTCAATCTGAGCTTCTGCCATCTGTTTCCAGAGTGGCTCGGATTCCACGCCTCTCGTCTCCAGAAATTACCACAGCATACCGCAGCGACAAGCTGCGGACAACTGCAGAGCGCATGGTTCAAGCTTGCAGCCAGCCTATGCTTGCACTCTTGATCGAGCAGGGCTCCACATCCTCCACCTTGTCTTGGACAAGGGCAGAGCAGACCGCGCCCATCTTCCTGAAGGCATTCATCATGCGCCGCAGGCAGCCGTCAGCCGCACATGCCGCCAGACAAGACAGCATCATAATCACCATCACCAGTAGCATCAGCATCACCCTCACCGAAGTTGCCATCAGCAGCCACAGATCTGATATGTATGCATACACATAGATGGCGGGAAAGAGAGAAAGAGAGGGGGCGGGAGCGATCGAGGCCAGTCTGCTGTTCACAAAAGTCTCCAAACCTTCTGAGAGTCCCGCTCAGCATTCAGGCCTCGTAGGCATGTCTGCAAGACGCCCCTGAGGCTACATATGGCAGCGGCAGGCAGGCAATGTGTGCGCCCCTGGGCTGTGGACTGCAGCACTCAAGTGGCCGTCATGCAGGCAAACGCTAAAATTAAAGGACCTGGTAGCAAATCACTGTGACACTGCTTGACCCTGTCAGAAAGCCACACTACACAGCTTCTTGGCTGGGAGGCTACGCAGACTTCCAAACTATGGTCTGGCAGGGGGGGGGGGGGGGGACAAATGTGGCCGGAGTCTTGGAGAAAGGGGAGGTTGTTGTTGTTGCCTTCCTTGACATGCGTGGCACTTTCAGTCATTATTCTTCAGCCCTTCAGATCTGCAAATAACATCTACGCATGAGCGGAGCATTTTTTCCGATTAAGACTTGGCCGCGTGAGGCACACGCACTCTGACATTCTCTTTTGCACGATTGTGCATGATTGAAACGGCACGATGCCTTCGCACTGTCGCGGCCCAGATATCAAGTTTTAAGTCTTTTTGCTGTAGGTACTGTTGGTCCTGATCGCCGGGGCAGCTTACACATCTTATCAGCGCGCGCTGCAAATGACTCCTGCGCATATGTGCTAGCGATGACAGGACTGGATCAACAGCTTCAAGCTTGGGGTGAATACAGTGGGCCACGCAAACCGCGTTGCAACGGTTGGAGCCCCTCACTATCCTGGCACAAAGCTCACCTCAGAGCCAGGACTCTAGGTTTCATGGTGCCTGCTTCGAGTGCAATCCTAGAAACTACTGGCCCACTCTACCCACACGGATTCACCCAGACGCAGCAGGTCAATCCATATTTGCAGCTTTGACGAAAAGTACCTGCAAAGATTGGAAGCTCTCACGGAAGGGCCTGGTCCGAATCTCCCACGTTTGCGCGCACTCGCAGTCTGACGAGGCACGGGCTCGCCGTGGAGCCATGCACTACACAGGCCCGGGTATACACGTGATCCAAAGAGCATCAAGAAGCGCTGCAAACCAGGCGTTTGTTTTCGGCCCTGCAACTTCCCGAAACTCGAACAGCATCGATTTGTGGATCCAGAAAAACTTTCGTAGAGCGCCAAATGTACAAAATCCGGCGCCGGGCCTCGAGCTAAAGCGAAATGTGCATTGCGCTGCATCACAACACACAACAACATGCAGTCCGCAAGTGCAGGGGGAAGGGCGAAAAGGAACAAACTCAACAAAACAAAGCACAGGCCCCGCTCACCCCCAAAACATCTCTGACCCCGTTTTCCCCTGCGGCCCCCCCCTTCTGGGTCCTGGGAGTGCGATATGGTGCGATTAATTTCGTACATAATGGCAGGACCCCCACAAGAACTACGCACAACTTGCCTCGAAAGAAGGCAGTAACCTCGTCTTATAGAGTCATTCTAGGGGGAGCCCGTACGAGAAAAAAAGGTTATACACCTTTGATATTTTGCTCAATGTCAGACCCCATGGTGCAGGCATGCGAAATCACAGTCTGGGGAGAAAAGCAGCTCGTACTCTCGTTCACTGAGGAGCTGTCGATGTGGGCGACAAGACCTCAAGTCAGCAAGGATTTGCGGTGGATCAATCATGTGACGATTTGTTCCAGGCAGGTTGGGGGTGGAGTAGTTCGGCAGTGCGACTTCTTGACCACTTGAGACGTGCATTCTTGCCACTGTGCACCACCGGAAAGTCAGCGAGCGTCACTGGAAAAACTGGGCCAGCAGCTTTCTGGTTCTTGCGCTGCGTAACGGCACAGCCAGGTCTGACGAGGCTAAGAGTAGCACGTGACAACGAGTCTAGCACCGTAGCAGCGGAATAAATGAAACTGCTCAAGCACAAATCCCAAGCGCGAATGCGCCTTTTTAATCAGATATGGCACTCCAGTACTTACGGAGTGATTGTTCTCATTCAGCGGGGTGAGGCAAGAACTGTTGCATTTGTCGAGCTGATAGTTCTTTGTCCACAACTTCCCAACAATTTCTTTGGCAGGAGCTGCATGGCTATGTGAGCACTATAGCAAAAGTCGCCTCTGCAAAGCAACGCAAGTTGTACTTGCAAAGACGATGTTTTACTTCAGATGGCCGGGTGCAGTTTGCGGAGCTGCTACGGCATGGCGACCCGAACTGCCAGTCCGTACTCACCCTGCACAGTGGCCTTGAGCAACAGTTGTCTCATCGAATCTGCCTGAGTCCGACATGTTCCCAAATCGAGTGCATCAAGCCGCGGTAGCACGGTAGCAGCAACCGCAACTTTACATAGTCAGATCAACCCAGCACCAGCAGCCCGGCATATCTTCGACGAAGGTTCGCCTTTGTGCCCGGCTCCTCGCATCGAAAGACTAGGACCAAGACAAGCGGCTGGGACTTCGCATGACTTAGCTTTTCTCTCAGACGTCTCACAGTCTCGCAGTTGTGATCTTTGGTGTTGGGCAGTATCAGCGGTGGGCTCCTGGAAAAGGTACTGGTGCGTGGCCGGCCACCCGACTCCATCAATGCCTGAACTCAAACACTCAGCCAGCACAACTCATCCGAACCAGGGTAGCAATGTGTAGCATGTAGCAGCTCAGACTTGTGAGACTCTCGCGGCTAGCCACGTCTGGAGAAACAGCGGACAGCTGCTGAAGATCCTGGCGGGAATCTGCAGGCCATGGGAGCTGTGGGGAGTGGCCCACATCAGCCCACATTAGCCCGTGAGGTCGCACTGTCCGGCCGGCAGCCGCCAAACAAACTGTGCCGTGCTGTGACTTTTTTCATACTTCTTCCATGCCTAAGCTTCACCAATCCATACGGGCCCTGCCCCTCATCCTGTGAATCGGCAAGTC